AAACAGTTGAAAGAACTAGGTATATTTTAACCTAGGAGAAGAAAAGAATAAGCAAGAGGAGACAAGTCAGCTATGATCATATTTGAAGACCCATCATGTTTAATAGAGTATAATATATTTTGTGTCGTCCCCCAAATTGCAAAGTAACCTTTTATTTATCCCAATAATGACCTTCCTTTTTAAAAAAATACATTTTTATTGATTTCAGAAAGGAAGGGAGAGGGAGAGAAAGATAGAAACATCAATGTTGAAAGAATTATTGATCAGCTGCCTCCTGCATGCCCCACACTGGGGATTGAACCCACAACCCAGGCATATGCCCTGACCAGGAATTGAATCATGATTTCCTGGTTTGTAGGTCAATGCTCAACCACTGAGCCAGGCTGGCAGAGTGCCCTTCCTTTTTTAAAAAAAATATTTTTATTGATTTCAGAGAGGAAAGGAGAGGGAGAGAGAGAAACATCAATGATGAGAGGGAATCATGCCCCCTACTGGGGATTGAGCCTGCAAGCTGGACATATGCCCTTAACTGGAATCGAACCCAGGACCCTTCGGTCCACAGGCTGATGCTCTATCCACTGAACCAAACCAGCTAGGGCCATCCTTCCTTTTTTAGGTGTGTAAGAAGTAGCTTTATTTTTCTATCTTAAAGATTAAAAAATGTTTATTGTAAAAATTTCAGAAAATATGTTTAAGTATAAAAAAGGAAAATAATAATTACCCATTATCCCACTACCCAGTTATAACCACTATAACCTAATTTGTGGGGCTCAGTACAAAAGGAACAAGCAGGACTCTTTGTTTAAAAATTAAGAATTTCAAGATGGTGACAATCGAGCATTTAACCAGGCAAGGGGCCCTTCTGAGCATAGGGCCCTATGGATAGATCACCAAGCCCCTGAAGCCAGCCCTGACTATACCATGTAGAGATTATATATATATATATATATATATATATATATATATATATCCTTTCATATTTTAGAAAGGCTTTCCAATTAATGAAATGCAATAGGCTGCCTTAAGAGAAATAAACTCTGGGGTTATAAAGGACAATGCTAGGCTTTCTATCAGGGATCCTATAGTGTAGATGAATGTGCTGGAGGTTGGCCTACAAGACCTGTTAGGATATTTTTCATCTGTAAAGTCAGTGGTGCTGTATCTCCAGCCAAAAAGAATTGGTTTGAGCCCTGGCTGGGTGCTCAGTTGGTTAGAGCATCATCCCAACAAGCCAAAGTTGGGGGTTGATTCCTGGTCAGGGCACATACAAGAATCAACCAATGAATACATTAATAAGTGGAACAACAGATCTCTCTCTCTCTCTCTCTCTCTCTCTCTCTCTCTCTCTCTCTCTCCCCTCAAGTCAATAAATTAAAAATAAAACACAACTTGGCCAGCCTGGACTTTGGGAGGAAGACATTCAGAGACAGTGATCGGTGCTGTGGCGGGGGTGGGGGTGGGGTGGGGGGTGGGGGTGCCTTTATGCTCTTCGGGGCTCTCTAAACCTTGTCACCTGTACAGAAAGTGTCAGGCCTGGGCTGAGCATTGATGGACCCAGGCCTTTGGGGATGTTTTTCAGCCACCTCCATGAGGCACGTGTGGGCCCAGCCAGCGAGAGCTGACCATGTAGAAGACGAGGAGGCATCCTGGGGACCCTCATGTCCAAGGACAGTCGGGGGCACAAGGTCTACTTGTCTATTCCTCCTTTTTTAGGTCATTGATGTTCTAAACAAATGGCTCTTTGTACTCTTCTTCCAAGTTTTATGTGAGTTTGAAAGTGTTTCAAAATAAAACGTTAAATTAAAATAAATAAATAGATAAATCAAACAAAGAATGGGTTCATGAACAATAATCATCACCTGTAAATTGACTATTTTCTTAAATTATGGAACCTTGCTTCTTTTGTTAATTTGCTATGCCGTTTAATAAAAAAGTATTACACATCAATTATGGTGGTGAGCCCTAGCTGATTTGGCTCAGTGGATAGAGCGTCGGCTGTGGACTGAAGGGTCCCGGGATCGATTCTGGTCAAGGGCACATGCCCGGGTTGCGGGCTTGATCCCCAGTGTGTGTGTTGGGGGGAACATGCAGGAGGCAGCCAATCAATGATGCTCTCTCGTCATTGATATTTCTATCTCTCTCTCGTCCTTCCTCTTTGAAATCAATAAAAATATATTTTTTTAAAAAAATTATGGTGGTGAATTTCTTTAAAAAGTTTGGTTTTACTTGTATGGCAGGATGCTACTGAAACCCCAAAGAGCTTTACCAGGCTCTAGAACAGGGGTGGGCAAACTTTTTGACTCGAGGGCCACAATGGGTTCTTAAACTGGACCGGAGGGCCGGAACAAAAGCATGGATGGAGTGTTTGTGTGAACTAATATAAATTCAAAGTAAACATCATTACATAAAAGGGTGCGGTCTTTTTTTTTTTTTTTTTTAGTTTTATTCATTTCAAACTGGCAGGATCCAGCCCGCGGGCCGTAGTTTGCCCACGGCTGCTCTAGAACATTGGTACCTTACTCAGTTATAGATATTCAAATGATTATTTGAATCATGATATTTCTTATTATTTTTAAATCTGTTGTTTTTTTTCATGCCGCTGAGAGATAATATCTATTATCTTCCCAGTTTACTATGGCTAAAGGACTTCCCATGTGTAGGCTGATTCATGACCTTGGATGTTCAGGCTGTCAGATGATAAACCTCTATGTATGTGGAAAAGCAACCCAAAGTTGTCAACTTATTGCCTTGTACTTTTAAAACCCAGACATTGGCACATATTAATTCCTGAATGACTTGCTGAAACTTAATGATTTTAGCTTAATGAGCTGGAAGAGTTCCCCCAAGTGACTACAAATGTATTTTAGAACTAGCTTCCAAATTATCTGTTGCATAGTTTTATATGAACTGCCTGATTTAATGCACTTACAAAAACTTAGCAATTTCCTTTCTACACAGTGCAAGGTACTTATCTTGTAAACATTTCTGTTGTAGAACGAAATGAATGACCTTTCTTGCCAGTGATTTTGACCACTTTGTACACAGTCTCAAAACATTCTATGAGAGAAATAATTGTTATGATGTTACCCAGGAATGATTATCTGTGGCCTCTCCTTTCCTTTCTGCCCCCTCACACTCCCACTGTTATCTTTCAACTGAGTCAAACTTTTCTTTACCTCTTTGTTCTTTCTCCCATTTTTCTAATATTACTTTTTTCTAGTGTATATAAGTAAGAAAATTGAGTTTGAGCTAGTTTTATTGAAAGTGTGGTAAAGGTGAAATAAATTATTTTCCTTGCAAATTTGAAAATACTTTTCTGAAATCTTTTTTTTTTTAATTTAAATTCTTGGGAGGCAAATCTAGAAGCTCAAACAGGGCTGTGTTTAATAAATGGTTTTGTTTGAAATTATAATGCCTTTATTTTGACAGTTTTGTCAAGTGATTAGCAACCCTCTGCAGGTTGCTAATTGTTATTCTGCTTTTGTGACCTCAGTTTTTATTTTCTACCAATTTCTACATCTACGCTCCCCCACCTTTTCCTTTCAGTTGAGCCAAATTTCTCTTTATCTCTTTGTTCTATCTCCTACTATTCTAATTTACATCCCTCTAAGTTTATAACTTCCTACCTCACATCTGCCAGCCTATACATATTCTCATTCAAAGCTTGCTTGTATTCTTAACTCCTTTTAAGTGGGTAAAGATAGGAAAATAGCCAAAAGCCTGCTTTATAATTGATTTAATGTTTTTCTCAAAAATATGTAATCTAAATTAAAGATAAATGCTTCATAAAGCAAAACCAACACTCAACCAATCAAAATTTCCAAAAAGGAAAGTGGATTTATGTATTTCAGCCATCCCATTGATACAACTAAGTCAACAATTTAGCACCTATTTTGTCCAGAAATATGTTGAAAATTAAAGGTGCAAACCCAGAGGTAGAAGATGTGGTTATTATCCTCAGCAAACTAATAATCTAGATAAAGAGATAAAATTAATATACCTCAAGCACTTAACAAATAGTTGTAATAACTAGCCTAATTATCAGAATGATAGGTTGTGTTTTATAGACTTTAAGTGCTATAAGTAATCAGAGAAAAGGGAAGGCATTATTGCTTGGGGTTGCCAATGAAGATTTCATGGGGGAAGCGGGTCTTGAAGAAAATGTAGAATTTGGATTAGCTAGACTGGGCTAGAGACTTGCGTTAGCATTTCTAAGTAAAAGAGAATTGCTTAACAAAGACCCCAAGGGAGAAATTAGTTGGTTGTTTAAGAAAACTGAAACCTTTGTTCTAAGGAGGAGTAGGAAATATAATCAGGTCATTAAATTGAAACTAACTGATCAAAAACCTCGAATTCCAAATGAAAAATTAAGAATTGTTTTTAAAAAATCCTTTTACCTAAGCATTTTAATTAATCAAGGTTTTATCTTGTTTAAATAGCTAAGATTTTCTTATATTAGTATTAGCTAACATTGAGTGTTTTACTACATGGTAAGCATTGTTCTAAGTGTTTTATATGTAATAATAACTAATTTTATCTTTACAACAACACTTTGTGGTTGATTATATTTTAATCCCCTTATTTTGCAAATGGGTGTGTAGAAAAGGTTAGGTACAACTGGCTCAAGTTGACATAAGTAAGTGACAGAGCAGAGCCAGGACTCAAACCCAGGTAGTCTCTGGTACTGGTATCTACATTCTAACTTGTTATATATACAACCTGTTATATTTATTTGAAGTATATATATATACTGAAAATATATCTTGAGATCTGGACAATTGAACTTGACATTTTATTGAAAGATCATTTTCTCAAACACTACTCACATTGCAACACTAATTTCTTCATCCAGAATATATTTTTTCTTTATGAAAGGTCTCTATAAGGAAACTTTGGGCTAGAAATTTTAAAAAGTAAATCCATTGTTTTTTGTCATTTGAAGTACTATTGATTTCATCTCTTGTAAAATCCTTATTTCATCAGTTTCTTTATTCCAACAGGGCTTCTGGTTGGGACTCTTGATTCAGTCTTTGACTCTACTGCTAAAGTAGCTCCATTTCGTATTCTACACCAGACACCAGATTCTCAAGTTTACCTGTCAATTGCATGTGGTAAGTATGATTTTTAAAGCATATACATCAACTCAATAAGGACATGAATAAATTGAATAACTATATTTATATTTCCTAGTTTTTTTGATTTAGAAAGTGTTATATTTCTCAGATTCTACTTTGAGAGAATAGGAAGACATCTAATTGTTTATTTAAGAAAGATTACAGATTATTACAGTTTGTAAAACATTGATCAGACTCACTAGGGCATTCCAACATGGTGGCTGACAGGACCAGAGTGAGGGAGTGAGAGGGAGAGTGTGTGGTAGTGTGTGTGTGTGTGTGTGTGTGTGTGTGTGTGTGTGTGTGTGTGAAAGAGAGATAGTCCAATTGACTGCACAGAAGTCTCAGGGTAGGGGGCCAGTAGTTCAAGCTCTTATGGCCAAAGAGACCCTGCTACTGCCACAGCCACTCCCAGGGCGTGGCTCAGGTTCAGAGACCATGCAAACTATAGCAACATGAAAAAGGAAATAGAAACCATGAACCAGGACCAGATAGAAATGAAGAATAACATATCTGACATCAAGAACACGCTGGAAGGAATTAAAAGTAGATTGGATGAAGCAGAGGATCAAATCAGCAAATTGGAAGATGAGGTAGAAATAAATACTCAATTAGAGCAGCAAATAGAAAAAAAAATTAAAAAGCAGAAAGATAGATGTGAAATTGAACAACAACATGTGAATACCAGAAGGAGAAGAAGGTGAACAAGAACCAGAGAACCTGTTTAAAGAAATAATGATAGAAAATTTCCCCAACCTGGTGAAGGAAAATGTCACACAAGTTCAGGAGGCACAGAGTCCCAATCACCATGAACCCAAAGAGACCCACATCTAGACATATCATAATTAAAATGGCCAACATTAAAGACAAGGAATCTTAAAGGCAGCAAGAAAGAGACAGAAAATTACCTACAAAGGATTTCCCATTAGAATGTCAGCTGACATCTCAATAGAAACACTTCAAGCCAGAAGGGAGGGGCATGAAGTATTCAAAGTAGTGAAAAGCAAGGGCCTAAATCCAAGACTACTGTATCCAGCAAAACTCTCATTTAAAATTGAAGGTGAAATAGCTTTCCAGACCAAAAAAAAAAAAAAAAAAGGTTAAAGGAGTACATTACCACCAAACCAGTAATGCAAGAAATGTTAAAGGGACTGCTTGATGAAGAAGAGAGAGAGAATCATAGGCATAAAGAACATAAAAATGGCAATAAATAAATACCTATCAATAATAACCTTAAATGTTAATGGACTAAATGCTCCAGTCAAAATATATAGGGTAGCTGAATGGATAGGAAAGCACGATCCATATATATGCTGTCTACAAGAGACCTGCCTGAGAATGAAAATAAAGAATGGAATATATATATATATATAAAGGGAAAAAAAGCTAGGGTAGTAATACTCATATCAGACAAAATAGACTCCAAAACAAAGGCCATAGCAAGAGACAAAGAAGGCCTCTACATAACACCAAAGGGAATGATTCAACAAGAAAATATAACACTTGTAAACATGTATGGACCTAATATAGGAGCACCCAACTACATTAAAAACTCTTGATGGGCTTTAAGGGAGAGGTTGACAGCAATACAGTCATAGTAGGGGACTTTAACACTCCACTGATATCACTGGATAGATCTTCTGGACAAAAAAATCAACAAGGAAACAGAGGCATTAAGTGACACACTAGATCAGATAGATCTAACTGAAATTTACAGAAGATTTCACCATAAAGCAACAGAATATACATTCTTCTCAAGCACACATGGAACATTCTCAAAGATAGACCATATGTTAGGACATAAAACAAATTCAAATTCAAAAAGATTGATATCATACTGAGCATCTTCTTGGATCACAATGGCATGAAGTTAAAAATCAACTACAATAAAAATAACCTCAAAACACTCAAATACATGGATGCTAAATAGCACGTTACTAAACAATGAATGGGTTACCAATGAGATCAAAGAAGAAATTAAAAACTTTCTGGAAACAAATGAAAATGAACATAAAACCACACAAAACCTCTGGGACACGGTAAAAGCAATCCTGAGAGGAAAATTCATAGCATTATAGCAGTGGTTCTCAACCTTCCTAAGGCCGCGACCCTTTAATACAGTTCCTCATATTGTGGTGACCCCCAACTATAAAATTATTTTCGTTGCTACTTCATAACTGTAATTTTGTTACTGTAAACAATATGTAATTATATATGTGTTTTCTGATAGTCTTAGGCGACCCCTGTGAAAGGGTCGTTTGACCCCCAAAGGGGTCGCGTCCCACAGGTTGAGAACTGCTGCATTATAGGCCTACCTCAAGAAACAAGAAAAAGCACTAATAAGTTACCTAATCCTACAACTAAAGGAATTAAAGAGAGAAGAGCAAGAAAAGCCCAGAGGAAGTAGAAGGAAGGAAATAATAAACATCGGAGTGGAAATTAATGACATAGAGACTAAAATTCAGTACAAAAGATCAATGAATCTAAAAGCTGGTTCTTTGAAAAGATAAACAAGATTGAAGAACCCCTAGGCAGACTCATCAAGAAACAGAGAGAACCCAAATAAATAAAATCAGAAATGAAAGAGGCAATATAACAATGGGCACCACAGGAAAAAAAAGAATTGTACTAGTAAGTATATACTATGAACAAGTATATGCCAAAAAACTGGACAACCTGGAAAATGGACAAATTTCTAGAAACATTCAATCTTCGAAAACTCAATCAGGAAGAATTGGAAAACTTTAATAGGCCAATAACAGCAAATGAAATTAAAGAAGTAATTTAAAAACTTTCAGCAAACAAAAGTCCTGGACTGGATGGAATTACAGTATAGTTTTACCAAACATTCAAAGAACTAGTACCTATCCTCCTCAAACTATTTCAAAAAATTCAAGAGGAAGGAATACTTCCAAGCTCTTTTTACAAAGCCAGGATTATCCTAATTCCAAAAACAGATAAAGACACTGCAAAGAAAGAGAATTACAGGCCAATATCCCTGATTAACACAGATGCTTAAATCCTCAGCAAAATATTAGTAAAGTGGATCCAGCAATATATTAAAAAGATCATACATGCATGAACAAGTAGGATTTATTCCAGGGATGCATGGCTGATACAATAATTGCAAATTTATGAATATGGTGTACCACATAAACAAACTGAAAAACAAAAATCACATGGTCTTATCAGGAATGCAGAAACATCTTTCAATGAAATCCAGCACCCTTTTCTGATAAAAACTCTCAGTAAAGTGGGAATAGAGGGGTCATATCTCAACATAATAAAGTCCATATATGACATACCTACAACCAACATAGTACTCAATGCAAAAAAATCTAAAAGCGTTTCCCTTTAGAACAGGAACAAGACAATGATGTCCGCTTTCACCAATCTTATTCAACATAGTAAGTGGAAGTGCTTTGGAAGTCCTAGCTACAGCAATCAGACAACAAGAAGAGATAAAAGGCATCCACATTGGAAAGGAAAAAGTAAAACTGTGATTCACAGATGACATGATATTGTAAATAGAAAACCTTTAAGACACTACCAGGAAACTACTAGACTTAATAATAAATGAATTTGTCAAGGATCCAAATTCAACATCCAAAAATTGGTGACATTTTTATACACTAATAATGAACTCTCAGAAAAAGAAACCCCCCCCCCCAAAAAAAAACAATCCCTTTTATCATTGTAACAAAACAAATATAATATACCTAGGAATAAACTCAACCAAGGAAGGAAAAGATCTGTACTTGGGAAAACTATAGCACACTGAAAAATAGAAAGAGGGAAGATACAAACAAATGGAAACGTTTACCATATTCATGGATTGGATGAATTAACATCGTTAAAATGTCTATGCTACCTAAAGCAATCTATAGATTCAGTGCAAGCCCTATTAAATTACCAATGGCATACTTCACAGAACTAAAATTAATACTTCAAAAATTTATATGGAACCATAAAAGATCCCAAATAGCTGCAGCAATCTTGAGAAAGAAGAACGAAGTTGGAGGGATCACAGTACCAGATACCAAACTATACTACAAGGCCATTATAACCAAAACAGCCTGCTACTGGCACAAGAACAGACATATAGACCAATGCATCAGAATGGAGACCCCAAAAATTTATTCACATCATTACGGTCAATATTTGACAAAGGAGGCAAGAACATACAATGAAGTAAAGACAGTCTCTTAAATAAATTCTGTTGGGAAAACTGGGCAGACACATACAAGGAGATGAAACTTAGACCACTAACTTACACCATCCTATATAATAAAAGTCTAATATGCAAATCGACCAAACTGTGGAATGACTGGTCGCTATGACATGCACTGACCACCAGGGGGCAGACGCTTAATTTGGGAGCTGCCTCCTGGTGGTCAGCTGCCTCCCACAGTGGTCAGAGCGCCACTTAGCCAAAAGCTGGGCTCACAGCTGGCGAGTGCAGTGGTGGTGGGTAGAGCCTCTCCCGCCTCTGCGGCAGCACTAAGGATATCTGTCTGAATGCCGGCTTAGGCCCGCTTTCCAGGGGAGTGGGCCTAAGCCATCAGTCAGACATCTCCCGAGGGCTCCTGGACTGCAAGGGCACAGGCTGGGCTGTGGAGACCACCCCCCACCCCCATCCAGTGCATGAATTTCATGCACCAGGCCTCTAGTACAGAATAATAAGCTCAAAATGGCTAAAAGACTTAAATGTAAGGCATGAGACCATAAAAATCTTAGAAGAAAACGTAGGCAGTAAAATCTCAGACATCTCACGTAGCATAATTTTTGCCGATATATTTCCTAGGGCAAAAGTACAAAGGAAACAATAAACAAATGGGACTACATCAAAATAAAAATTTTCTGCACAGCAAGAGAAACCACTATCAAAATGAAAAGGGAAGCTACTGTATGGGAGAACATATTTGCCAACAATACATCTGATAAGAGGTTAAAATCCAAAATATATAAAGTACTCATACAACTCAATAAAAGGAAGA